GGGGATGATTACTTACCAATGAGTTGATCTAAAATGCATTTTATGTAGAGAGCTTTGATAGTAAATTTATGTAGATTTTGGACTTCAATCTTTGATTTGGTCTCTGACCTTGTCACTGACTGTGCGAATTTGGACAAATCAGTTAACCCCTGTGAAATACAAACTCACCATCTGTAAAATCAGGAGTACTAACATTAACTCACAGGTTAGTTATATTAAAGGGAAACTTTATACAAACAATTTAGATTATGTGCCTCACAATAAAAAAATGATTTCATTTCTATCTTCTATCAATCATTGTTAATGTTCTTAAATATTATAAAACGTATGATGTCTTCATTTCGGTCACAGAAAATTAAAGTTGACACATTAAAAACCTAATATGCACAGTGTAACCTGCACCGAGGTGTTTTGCCAGGCGCTAGGGAAGTATCTGGTATTACCGGTGTTCAGTCATCGGTTTCTCCTCTCTCCTAGGAAGGGTGCTTTTCCTCTTTTGGAAAACGCCTCTGCCCTGACTCTAGGGCATCAATGGTCATAATTCCTACAACCTCCCCCTTTCCTCATGCCCTGTCCACAGGGGTAGGCATGTTTCCTAAGTGGGCCAGTTGGGTTTCCTCTAGGATTCAACAGACCGCGGCGAGAGCCCGTCCTTCCCGGGGAGGAAGCAGAGACGCTCTGGGCCTAGGCGTGGTTGGCCATCATGGCAATCTTTGGAGAAAGCTGGTCTGCAACAGTCAAGCCGACAATGGAAAGAAGGTCAAATTGCTCACACATGCCAACATTTGGTAGTGTGGTTCAACAAAACTCGCAGGCTAGCTAAAGCAGAAAAAGGTTGATTTTCACATTTGCAGCCCAAGTCAAGTATAAGCACATATAAGCAGTGAGTCACCTGGGATTAGCGGTAAGATTCTGCCTTCTCCCTGCCCAGCCTCCAAACTTTAGCGTCTGACATCCAGGTAAATCACGGTGTCTACCAGGTGGAACATTTTAGGTCTGATCACTGTATAATTTACTGGCTTCTGTTTCGCAGCTTTAGGCTGTATCCTCGACCTTAGTCAGGGTTCAGGAAACGCTAGGGTTTTGTAGGGAGGGGGAGCACATGCTTTGTTCTCACGGAACCACTTTAAGCATGGTCGGGAGAAGGTCGGCCAGACTCCCCTGCTCTGGGAAGCAGGGTACTTCAAAGCCACCTGGAAAAACTGAGATCTGGCTGTGGGGCTGGGAGGAGAGAGCTGCTACCAAACTCCACTGACTGGATTCCTTAAGGTACCAAACTGAATAGCCTCTTAAATAAATGAACACATCTTAAATTCAAAGGAATTATGTTTCAATTTTTTGGTCAATTTCCCCTCCCTTCCATCTTTTCTCCCTTACTACCTCCTTTCTTTCAAATAACATTTTTTAGATGACTTTTAAAATGTAATGTTTCAGCTTACAGAAATATTTAAATGCAGGGAAAAATGGAAATAAGAATCACTTATATACTCCCACTAGGAGATATTCCCTGTTCATTTTTGGTATATGTTCTTCCAACTCATTTTCTATGCAACAATTTTTTTTTAACATAATTGAAAACATAACGCATATCTAACATTGCATTCTTTTCATATTTTCTTTGAACAAATGTAAATGTTTTCTGCTATTTAGTTTTGTCTCCCATTTCTTTGATATTATAAACTGCAATAAACATTTTAGCATTATGTATTTGATGCTGTATTTCAGGGGACAGGGCNGATAAAACTGCAATAAACATTTTAGCATTATGTATTTGATGCTGTTTTTCAGGGGACAGGGCACTGATAGCATGTGTGTTGAGAGATTTACATCAAGGTAATGATAATCCAGGTACTGGACCCCACTTTTGCCTTTGTGGATATAGAGGAAACTTTTAGGATACATTATAAGTTGAGAGGATCATATCAGAGATCACACTAAATACATTTAAAGAAGTAGAATCAGATGTTAATATATCTGATGCCTGATAAAATTATTGTTAGTTTCTGGGTAGAAAGAAAGTCCAGAAATATAAAAATTAGTTACAATGCCTAGACTTCCTAGTCTTTCTACACTACCCAAGCTGAGAGCCCATGATTTCCTGCAGAGCCAAGTCTCATTTTTCTGCCAGGCTTCCCTTGTACAACCTGGAACATCTGCTTTGTCAAACAACAAAACAGAAGCACAATAGTTTGGCTATGAAGTTAAAAATGACAGGAGTGTTTCACACTGTTTTAGAGGAAATGCAAAATACAAAGGTGTTGAAATTAAGACAACATTGTTAAAGATTAGAACGTGATAAACATGTACCATGTTGACACCAGTCACATGTGACTCCTCTTTTCACCTGGTCAACCAAAAGTCAAGCTCCTCAGCCCAGGCAGGGACGGGGCACAAAAATACTTTCGGTTTCTGCCTAAGTTATCTGATTATGTCTGTGACTCTGTACAGCATTTGGCAACCTTTTCATTGAACTTTTGAAAAGAAATCAGATCAGAAAAAACTACGGTATCTTTGGAAGAATGGGTTGGTTAAAACAAGAAAATATTGGTAAAATAATATTATTCAATTTAAAAAGATTTCATTTGAAGCTAGTGGGAAGTGTAAGATTACATAGATAAAAGCTCCATTTGGCCTCAACAGTTTTCAAGACATAAATGCTCTGGAGGTTTACACTGGGGGTAGGGGAGGCGAGAAGAGGGCTGACTATGCATAAAAGCAGTAGTATGAAAAATGTTTCAGTTTTGTATTTTTCATATTGGAACCTGATAAAACTCTCTGATTTTCCATCTTTGACAGGCTGGAATATTATTTCTAAATTATCTTCTACTTTGAGAACTCCACCTGTGACAACAGAAATTATTATGGCTTTTGAGAAAATTGTAAGAACAGCACAGACTCTAACTCAATAAAACTTTGATGATTTTCTTTGGACTGTAATGTGGTCTCATTAGATTCAGGCATTTACGAAGGAGTTTTGAAATTATCTTACCCAATGGTTCTTAACTGGGGGACAGATTACGAGTAAGGCAACACGAGATATTCTCCTTCTCTTGCCAAGAACCACTGAGAAAAATCTAATTCTCTTTCATTTCCGGTAGGAAAAGCAAAGAGCCAAGAAAATAGATCTATGCCCACTGTCACCTTGCCATAAGTGGCAGAATAGGACTAGAACAAGAACCTTCTCCCAGGATAGCACTCTTTCCACCTTGGACCTGGAATCTGCATGGGCATTGCAGCATGGAGGCAGACTCTTTGCCAAGGCCTCCTGAGAACTTCCTATCTTCACCCCTGAATTACATAGGCCCAACCCTTGGTGTCTCAGCTTTTAGACTCTTTCTTTGACCAGGAATCAGCCATGATGAAATTGGATTTATGTGTGAGATTACAGATGGGCCTTATCTGATGGAGCAACTCCAGATGATTGGGAGAGGCTGAGACCGTAAGTCCCCATACAACTCAGCAACAGTGCCATGTACAATTACCGATGTCCTTATGTGTGAGGGATGGGGGCAGAACGGTCTTCTGACTTTGGTCTGTACCTTAGCCTCAGGAAATCTGATATTTATAGAGAAAGGGGATCCAGGAACTGGAGAGTTTTCCCCCCAGAAAATTTCAGTCAAATCCCTTCATATAGACAGAAGGCTTACATTTTAAAGAGCTAGCAGTGGCAAGTCTAGTGTCTTTTTATTTGTACTAGTCGCTCTTCATTTCTGGTTCTTCAGCTGCCCTAATAGGATAGAAATTAAATGATTCAGATAGTTTTTCTCTTCAGAGATGGATGCTCTTATTGCTTCAACTGCTAATATTATTTAAAAATGTTTTTGGTTTAATACCCACATAAATATATTTTAAATTATCCATGATCATGGTGGTAGTGAAAAAGGAGACAAGAATATCCACTGTTAGTTTGAAACCATGTGTTCAGTATTTCTAATAACTTTAGGAAGAACTTGTGGAAATGAGTCCATTAAAATCTCAAGTAAAAAAAGATGGTGAGCCCAGCTGGTGTGGCTCAGTGGTTGAGCATCAACCTATGATCCAGGTTTGATTCCAGTCAGGGCACATGCAGGTTTGCGGGCTCGATCCAAAGCAGGGGGTGTGCAAGAGGCAGCCGATCAATGACTCTCTCATGATTGATGTTTCTATCATTCCCCCTCCCTTCCTCTCTCTGAAATCAATTAAAAAAAAAAAAGATGGTGATATGCAAGCATGTTCATAACAGTCTCTAGCTGGGAGCTTAAGTGCCTACCAACAATGGCCCAGATGAATTGTGCTATAGTTAGTTGCACACTAGAATATCGCTCAGCAACGAGAATGAAGGATCCATAGCAAGTGCAGAACTATAGATGAATCTCACACATGTAATGCTGAATAAGAGAAGCCAGACACAAAAGAATATGTGCTGGTTGATTCTATTTACATAAAAGACAAAAACGAGAAAAACTAATGTGTGATAGAAGTCAAGGCGGTAGCTGTCCTTGGAGCAGTGAAGTGATGGTTGGGAGAAGGGGTTTCTGGGCAGCTGGCCATGTTTTGTTTCTTATAGGTGCTGGTTACAGGGCTGTGTTCAGCGGGAGAAAGTTCATGGAGTTGTACACTTATGCTTTATGGAATGTTTGTTCTATGTTGTATTCCAATAACATTTTTTAAAAAAGGTAAATGGGCATTTTTCAAGAGGCAGGAAAAACCAACAAGCAGAAAAAACACAAAATCCTCACGTTCATGTTTTGTTACGAAAAACAAAGATTTTGGAAGTGCACTTCTTTTGTAAAACATTAATCAAGTAATTAAATGAACCGAAGTCATGAATGGGATGGAAAAGAGAAGAGCATAAACGCCTCAAAATGTGAGTTTCTATCAGGGGCTAAATAGTCCCCTCCCAGAACTCTATGCAAGTTAGAATTTTAGAAGCAGGTCTATTGAAGACAGAGGTGTGGAAGCCTCTCTATTAAAAAATGCACTTTCCAAAGCTACCCGGCGGGCACAACAAACTTAGTGAGTACTGGGTTCACAATCTCAATTTATTATCAAAATATTTCCATCAGGTAACAAATCTGAAAAGATGAGGAGGTGCACAGCTACATAGACGCGGGTTTGCCCTTTTATTCTAGCCACCTTAGGGACAGACTGAATCTTGAAAATCCTGCTTGTAAACCGCAAGTCTTACGTTTCTTTAGACAACTGTCCAATGGCAATGTTTAATCCAAAGTTTATACTTAAAGCTCTTCATCAATATGATTTATAAGTTTAAAAAGTCTCAAATGTTCATCTGTACATCACTTTACAGATCTTGGTTCATAACTATCTGGGTCTGAAACTTCAATATTCAATGATTACCTATAATAACAATTACTTAGTCATAAATGTAGTTAACAATTAAATATAAAAATTATTATTTATACATTGCTACAAATCTCTTAAAAAGACCAGGTTTTGAGAGAGACAGAGAACAAGAAATTGCTTAGAAAATTGCAGGGAGCCTCAGGAATATTGATACCAGTCAAAACAGGTACAATAAAACAGATTTAGACATTCATTTTAGCCCTAAGTGCTCAAAATAAATGATCTCGGAATGCCTAACTGATGACTGGAAAAGTAGTTTAAACGTACATAAGTCCCAAGGCCCCAATATGTGTAAGAATTCTTTGGAAGAGATTTGAAGGAGCATAAATGTTGCAAATAAAAGTACAAATAAGTACTTCTGCAATGTGTTTTTCACTCCCATGTCACTGATGTGTTTTTGGTGTCAACTGTATTCTTCAACTTCTTCTTTCTCCCTTTGATGAGAAATCCTGCTCTACCTAATGGCTAACACTCTCTTCAGGAGGCAACATCAAACCGGCAGATCACATGAGAAACAGAAGTGAATGGTAAGCCTGTCTGTAGAGAGTAAGCATTATTTACAGTGAGAAGTGAATGATTTGACAGACATTAGACACCCTCCTCCCTCCACACCTTTTCCAGGATAACCTAACTTCATTTTATTATGATGCTCTCATCTCTGCAACCATCCCTGTGCAACAAAAGTGAGCTCTGTGGCCCAGTCTCTTGGATAGAGGTCCCCATTTCCATGGTGTTGACGAGGCTAGCCCAGGGCTGCACCGCTCTTCTGAAGATCACCAAACCCGGCATTTCTTTTCTGGATTCATGTATGAATTCTTGAGGCAATGAAAGGCTTCTGCAAACTCATGGGAGTTCTGCAAAGTCCCAATAATCCTGTGAAACAAGCAAGAGTCACCATCAGCATTTGACACTCATGCCCATAGCATGTGGGAGCGCTACAGAATTTCTCTCTGTAGGCCAAGTGAGTGAATTTGGAATTTACAGTTTTAAAAAAAGAAGAAACTGGTAGAGGGAGTCCATTCTTCTCATTAACAGCATTTTTAACTGGAGAGGTAACAGATTTTGAAGACAGATGGTATGGTTTGAATCCTAGTTATGGGTTGTCTTTATTTAGCCTCTCTGGGCCTCAGTTTCCTTTCCTGTAAATGCATATAATAATAGTACCTGCATCTTAAGGTTGTCATGGGGAGTTAATTTATAAACATTCTATACATGTTTGTAAAATACATGCATAATTCATATTTGGAATTGCAGTTAATATAAGGAGAGTTTGGTCAAAGAATAAAGTCATGATTTTTCATGACAGTATATTGAAAAAGGTCACATGGCAACTTAAATATAATAGACTTTAAATAGACAATGGTTGATTTGATTTAACAGGGAAGACAACAACAATTATTTTCTTTTTTTCCAAAAGAACTCCATAAATATCAGAAACTGGACCCAGCATGAGTAACTGGAAAGGGCTGGTAAAATGCCAAGTTCTTCTTATCTCTGACCCCAATGGGCAAAAACAACAGGGTCCACCCTCCTATCAGCACCCAGCAGCATCTGAGGAGAGAGACGGGTCAGTGCAGTGCTGCAGGGGTGAGGTTTTCCCATCAACCAAGAACCAGCTCCTTCCTTTCTCTTCCCACTGAGACCATGCCACACCCTTCTTGGGCTGGGAGGTGAGCAGACTGGAGTCGTGGGAAGGCTAGGAACAGTGACCCGAGAGTACCTTCTGGTCGACTGAGGTCTCCATACACAGCAGATACGTTAACACACATAACTATGACCATGTCTCCCTCCTCTAACCCACTCTCCATTCAGCACACACAGTGATCTTTAAAATGTAGATCAAATTCCATAATTCCCTTAGTTGAAAACCTTCCAGGTGCCTGAAGGAAATTCAACCTCCTCACCATGCTCTCCAGCATCCTGATGGCTCCAGCCTATCTTCCCGGCCTCCTCGTGGATTGTTTCTTTCCCGTGCCTCAGGGACCTCAAACGACACTAACTTACTTCCCATTTCTCACAATGGCCAACCTCCTTCCCTCTCCAAGGCCTGCTGCTCCTGCCGAGCCCACTCCCTGGGAAATTCCTCCCCAGTGACTACATGGCTCACTCAGCCTCCACGCCTCTGCTTAAACACACCGCCTCGGAGGCTTTCTTTAAATACTGTCCAGGTTAGTTCCTCCCCCGTACTAGCCCTGTCATAGCACCTATCACAGCTTACAGCTATTTGCTCTCCTTTGCTTCCTGACACACCCACTACACGGTATTCTCTGAGGGCAAAACACTGTGTGTCCCTTGCTCCTGCGGCATCCCAAAGCCTAGCACACCGCTTTGCACACTGCGAGACTCGGTACATGCTGGATGAATGCGCCTGTGGCCTGACCATGGTGGTTATGTGTACAGGAGTAATAGGTCATTATGAAGAAAAATGCTGCTTAGTATTTTTGTCACTCATTTGCTATTATGAATCAACTGGGATGGAATGAAACCATTTCTCTATCCCCATTCTAAGAAAGAAAGATCTCTATCGCATTTCTCAAAGTCTAACTTCCGAATGTATCACCCATGACCACATCAAGTAGCTCTCACTCCCCCTCCCTGCTCCCCTATCCTTCAGGGAGGAGGTAAACTTCTCTGGATTAAAAGGAATCTTCCTGGTATGGG